CCTTGAGGAGAGGGGGGTCAGGGTCCTCCTTCTTCTCTTCCCCTTCCACCAATCTCACGAGAGGACTTGCAGCTCAACGGCTATTTAGAGAACCTTAATGCCTCATAGGCACTATCCATTTGAAAACGTCCATGTCTTCTTCGTGAATCGAACCCAGGGCCTGTAGCATAACAGTCAGCGTCACTAACACTATACCGGATGGACAACGAGATTTTTCTGGATTTTTCTAGAGATTTTTAATGGAAACTTTTTTTATAATCCATTATATTTTATCAAAGAATAAGCTCGTTTAAGTTTATGAAATTAAAAATCAATTGTGTAATGGTCAGAATGTTAATTTAAGATTTTTAGAGTAGGCATATAACCAGATTTAAAAGTTCGCTAAACGTGGATTTCAACGAATGCTCCTAACGTTATGACACTTCAGCACAGTATTACGCATTAATTATGTATGAAAATTTTTGCTGTTAATATAAATTGCTCGCACAAATTTATGTTAAAGTGCAAAAAATAAGAAATAATTTAGAAATTTTTAAAATTATGGAAAATACATATATTCTTGCATTTAGAATTTTTTCCCGTCATTTTCTGGTAATTAATTGTACATATAGATGAAATCGCATATCAATATATTCCGTTTTAATCTAATTCAACTATAATAGATATATTTTGTATAAAGATTAATTTCTACCAGAACAGAAAATGTGATGACACTACAACACAATAAATTCACTTTATTTAAATCTGAAACTTTTGCTATAAACGTAAATTACTCATATAGATCAAAGCTAAAGAGTAAAATTGTAAAAAAAATCTAGAAATTATTAAAATTACGAAAAATACATACATTTTTGTTCCTAGAACTTTTTGCAGCCATTTCTGGCAAACTTTAAGAGGGTCCCCACAGATAGAATCCCCATGTATCCATTTCAAGTACATATAGCCATAATAAAAAGCCAGGAAAGAAAATTAAAAGGAAGTATGTCCAAATATGTACTTAAAATGCCTTATTATACGAATAAGAGTATTCTGCTGAATCGATAGGGGCATTAATTACTTCATAAACGTTAATTTTCCTTTTTCATGGGTTGTACTGAAGTCAATAATAAGAATAACAGCAATAATCTTGTATTTACGTCACGTGGACCAATGAATGACGAATATAAGCTCTATTCTCATTCTTATGACCATATATTGCTTACACTTAAGTATTCTCAAATTCTTCCTAAGCTCCACCATATAATTCATTGCAAATCAGAGTTGTTATAAAGATATAGGGTATTTACATATTAGCGTCACCGCAGCCAAAATTTATCCTCGAGAATCGTTTCTCTTCAAAGAAAACATGTAAAAACCTTTGTTGTTTTCATATCAGAGCGCAATTCGCGTGGTGCAAATTTTGCTGCGGTGACGCTAATATGTAAGTACCAGATATATAGTTATGAATATTTTTTTATATTTAACTGTCTTTCTGCTTCATTCGAAGAGCTGTTTTTTCTATTTTATCCGTAAAGTTGTTTTTATAAAGTAATATATCTTCTATTTCATTTGAAATGAAACATTTTTACATTTTCAGGAGATAGAATTTTGTTTAAAATCATTAATTATTATTAATTAGTCCAAATTATTTTGTAAATATTGATACACAGCGGAAATCCTATCTTATACTTATATATAACTTATTCAGATATATACCACCAATATTATTTCATGCAACAAATTCATTAATCAAGGCCAGAAAAGTATTTTGTGTAATAGTACCTAAAAGGTATAATATCTGTACAAAAATTAATCTTTCACTTTCTCAAAATTTGCGAAAAATAAAAGAAATTAGGAATGAGCAGTTGAAAAATCGAAAAGGCAAATTGAAACAGTTCGTGCGATCACATGCGAAATTATTTGTGTAAGTATTATATAAGTATGCAGTCTTGGAGTGTTTCTGCAGCGATGTAGTGCGTCCTCGAAAAGTTGATGACTTTGGTTTCAGTAAGTTCTATTGTTGAGGTAGCTCTGAAATATTTTGGTGATGCTTTAAACCAAACTTTGAATCCCAAAGAGTAAACATAAAAGCTTGTATTATATTTGCACGTACGTTTATTATTGTTACGGAGCGTATTTGGCTAAACGTATATTTAATATTATTTTCAAAAAAAAAATTTCATTACCTCGTAATTAAGTTGAAAATGTCTTTGAAAAGTGATAAATCCCTTTACTTTAAGGTATCCGACTGCGTTCGGAACCGTGATTTTAAAAAAGAGTATAAATGGATATTTTCATGATATTTAGTGTCACTTAGATTAGAATAGATGTATAAAATTGTTTTAAGGACATTTAGACAAAAAAATTATTTAAATACACTATTTTGGCAAAAAATTAGCTTAGAATAATCTTTTTTCAAAATGTTCTCCTTTTATAAAAAATGCTTCTAAAATAATAATATTTCGTTTATATAAAGTAAAGACTTCTCCAGAGAGTCTGAACTAAGATTTTTGAAAAATTCACATTATTTTCAGAGTTTCCACCAATCGAAATAATTATCAGCGTTTTCTTCTTATAATTGATCCCCTCTGTTGTCGTAAAAAGTGTATAAACCCACTTCTAAGTTATATATTTCAAAAATTCTAGTTGAGCCTCTGTAGAGATCTGAGCTATATACAGGCAAAATATTATTATAATAGAAGCACTTTTCACAAAGGGAGAATCTTTTGAAAATGGGTCCTTCTATGTTCATTTTTTGTCAAAATATTGTACTTAAAGAATTTTTTATTGTAATGCTATTCTTAAAACAATTTTGTATACATTTTCTAATCTAATTGACACTAAATATTATCCATTTATACGCTTTTGCAAAATCACGGTTCCGAATGTAGTCGGATACCTTAAACAAAACTCACAATCGAAGTAAAAACTTATCTTAGGTAAACAATGTCATGAGACATACACAGCTAAGCTTATTTTTAACATATTTAACACTTTTTTTTTAACTCAATTTTTTTTTTCTTCTAATTCTAACATTTTTCATCTCCAACTCTGAGTGACGGATATTTTCCGATTCAAATAGCATGTGTGACTTGCATCGACTGATTAATGACACGTTCTTATCGAACTTAGAGATAAACCAAATAATTCAAGGTAAGTGGACGAGAAAGGATGGAAATAGTATAGCAAAGGTAAGCTTATTTGATATCAAACAGTTCGCTCCAGATTTTAAATGAACAAGAGGACGATGTGCGGAATAAGGAAGAAAATCAAAATATTTTCTCTAAAGTAAACAACCCGCAATAGATGACAATACCACTGTTATCAGAGAACCGTCGAAGTTCCGAATAAAAAGAGAAAAAGAAATGAGTAAAGGCTTTTGTTAACGGAATTCTGATAGCATTGTTTCACATTCTTTGAAGAGACCACTAATCTTATCTCTACACTCAGGTGAGGTGAAATTTACCACATTAGGTCTAGTTCTCCTCCCCCTTAAGAAAATACGACGTGGCAGCTGAGTTTCTTAATAGTGTATAGAAAAATATAACTTTTATTCATGAAGTTAGTCCTAGCTAACATGATAGTTCTATCACGTTAGCTAGGTCTAATTTCAATAGACGAGCTTATAAGCAATAGAAATACGTCGGAAAAATTTGGAAAACCGCCAAGAATTAAAAGTTTCAAGAATAAAAAATTATTGTGATTTTTTTAATGATGAAAATATATTTATTTATTTATGTTATTCTTTAAATGCAATTTATCCTTGTTAAGATTTGTCGTCTTAACCTGACATTCTTAGGGCTCGGGTGACTCATGCGCAGTGACAATGGTGATCACTGTTTCTAGCATCTCGTTGCACATTTTAGATGCATTTATATTTTAATTCTGTATTCTGAATTATTCAACTATTGCTTTAACTGGTGGTTATATAGTTACATAGTTCCGTAGATAGTTAAATAAATAATTCTGCTATTAATTAAATAATTCTGTATTCAGAAATATTTAAATATTGATTTATTTGGTGGGTTTTGATACCAGATTTCTCTGGTATCTCAAATAAAATTCTAGAAACTGAGGTATATAGAATCTCAGTTACATTACTCTCTTTTTCATAACAAGTAAGAATAATGCACATTTTCTTAACTCTTTTAGAATGTAATAATTGCTTCCCTTTAATTTGTAATACATAAATCAATAGACATTCTATTTAAAAAAAGCAATGATTTAACCGAAAATATTTTTACATTATACAAAACATATATACATGCATCGTTTTTCTTGATGAAACATTACCATAAAGAGTATCAAAAAAAATTATGCAAAACTGTCATGAAGAATTTTTACAAAATCAAATTTCTTTCGCTTTAATGCTATACAAAAAAAATGCTTTACTTCACAAAAAGTTATTTCGGTAATTGTCTAGTCGACATTTGGTTACTATAGTAGGGAGGATCGAAATTTTTTTTTCAGAATTTCAAAACTAACTTACGCGGAAAAGAGGTTCTGTGGAAGGGGAAAATAAAATTTAAAAAAAAAACATTTTTATGTTAAGTCCTGCCAGAAAGGGAAGAAAGCTTAGATATTTCAGTCCTTTTTATGGTAAAAAAAGTAACTTTTGTTAAGGAAAAACAGGAGTTTTAGTACCTACTGCGATAAGAGGACACCTACTAAATAGATACAAGAAAAAAAACGAACACATCAGGGACATTTAAGAACTTCTTTAGTATTAAATTAAAAATAAACAACTAATATAAAAAAAATTTGTCTATTCCTACTTTGATCATCTAAGAAAAATTTTATTTTAGTTACTTTTTATTAAATAATTAAAATTAATGTAAATATGTATATACATATGAAAGAATCGTAATATTAAATGGCAAAATAGAAAGCGATTTTCCATTTTCCTTTCTATATAGGGTGTTGAAGTATTATTATTTTTTATACTATTTATTCATTCATTAAATTTAACTATTCCAGTAAAATAGTATAGTTAAAAGAAATCACATTCTCAGAAATTAGGCCAACCCAGGTGGGATTCGAACCCACGACCCCTAGATTAGAAGTCCATCACGCTAAAAAATTACGCTGATTAACGCGCTAATTAAAGTTAATTAATGAATTAAAATTTGAAAAACTGTATTATCAACTACTACAATTTTTAAAAAATGTATTTGAACTTGAGTGGATGAATAAAAAGTATTTTATAAATGCGATGGAAAATTTCAACAAGATATGTGTATAAGAGAGAGCGAGAGAGGGACGTAAAGTGTGAACTAATAGCAGTAATTTAAAAATTTACTATACTGAAATTCTAGAACATGATAAAGCGGAAGAGGCGGAAAAGAGTTTGAATGGGACTGATTGATGGTGCTGGGAGAGAGAGCAGGGTTATGTAATATTGTAATATACAGGGTGGGCAAAAAGTCCGTGAAAACTTTAAAAATTCATAAAATCCGGAGAAATGAACGAAAAAAAAAACTGTTCGCAGAATCAGCATTAGTATGTCATGGGATTCTTTTTAAGCTAGAAAAAAAAATAATTTGAAAATCATCCGGTAGGTGGCGCTGTTACAAGCGTCTGTGGTGGAAATATGCAAATTAGACGGCTATAAAAACCTTTGCTCTCAATGAATCCACATTCTCACCATTACAAACAGTGAATGTGAACAAGGATGCTCAGTGCGCCGGATAAAGCTTTGTTGGTGAAGTTATTCTACATGAATGAGGAATCAGCGACCATTGCCTTGCGTAAATTCCGAGTTCAGAAAAATGTGAAGAGTGGAAAAGGCCTTTTAACACCTGCAGGTCTCTTAAAGCTTGTTAAACGTTTTGAAGAAACTGGAAAGTTGGAAGATCGAGCACGAGCCGGACGACCTTGCTTGAAAGAAGAACGTGCACCCTGCATTGCTGTCGAAATGGAAGCGATTGCGTCCGAAGCAGCTTCAGGGACCAGCAGTGCTCGTGAAGCTGCCAGACGATTGGACTTACCACTATCATCTGTCCGCAATATTCTTCGTCGAATCCTCCAGCTGTACCCGTACAAATTGCAATCGTGCCATGAACTTTTGCCAGCAGATACCGCACATTTGCGAAGTGGGCCTTCTCTAAAATGGAACAGGATCTCACCTGGGTTTTTAACATCTTGTGGACAAATGAAGCTCATTTCTCGCTTCAAGGTGACGTTAACAACCATAACTGTCGCATTTCGGCGACCTCTAATCCACGTGAGTACACACAGAAGTCATTGCATTCTCCAAAAGTGACAGCATGGTATGGTTTCACGGGTTCATTTATCATAGGACCCTTCTTCTTTGAAACGCAGTGCCCAGTAAATGGATGGATAACGGAAACGGTAAATGCTCAGCGTTATCTAACGCTTCTGCGGGAGACTGTCATGCCATGTTTAATTCAACGAGGTCAGATTTCGAATGTCACGTTCCAGCAGGATGGAGTAACCAGTCACACTGCTAACCCGGTTAAGGCATTCCAGATACAGACGTTCGGGGAAGAGAGAATCGTTAGCAGGTGCTGCAGGTACCCTTGGCTCCTCGGTCTCTAGATTTAACACCGGCAGACTTCTGGTTGTGGGGATATTTGAAATCTCGCGTGTATCTATCCGGTCCATCAAGTCTGTCGGAATTGAAAGATACGATCCGCAGAGAAGTATCCTCCATACATCCGGACATGTTGCACTCTGCCGTTGCTGGATTTGTCACTCGTCTGGAATATCTTCTCCATTGTGGTGGTGGTCATGTAGAACATATTCTGGTGTAATAAAGTTGTGAAAGTTTTCTTTTCATTATTTATGCATTGTTTCTTTGATTTGCGTACATCAGCGCCACCTACCGGATGATTTTCAAATTATTTTTTTTTCTAGCTTAAAAAAATTCCCGTGACATACTAATGCTGATCCTGCAAACAGTTTTTTTTTTCGTTCATTTCTCCGGTTTTTGTGAATTTTTAAAAATTTTACGGACTTTTGCCCACCCTGTATATGTATATATATATATATATATATATATATATACATTGCACTCACAATATTCAGTACTTTCTTGTTAGTATTCATCACTTTCGATTATTCTTACTATAAAAGAATAATTATTTTGAATCTAAAATTACCTAACGAAGATTGAGTCTTTTTCCATTTTTTCAATTCCTACTATTAGCTCACACTCTCTATGTATTTATTCATTTATTTATCTTGGTGGAATTTTCAATCGTTTATAAAATACATTTTAAAGCGCTCAATCTCGAGCTGAAATTTTATATACACGATTAATTTGGATGACAATACAGTAATTTAGTTATAATTAATAAAAATTCATTGATTTAAACTAATTATTCAAAGAATTACAAATACAGCCATGTTGGCATCCTTTTTGGCGACTTGTGTCAAAACATGAAAAGGTTTTTTTTTCTCATATTTTAAAGCGCTCATTTGAGCTGCAATTTTCTATACACTATTGTTTGGGGTAAAAATACGATAATTTAATTATAATTAATTTAAATTAATTGACTTAAACTAATTATTTAAAGAATAACAGATACAGCCACGTTGGTTTCATTTTTAGTTGACTTGGGTTAAAACTTTAAAAGATTTTTTTTCCTCACGTTTAAAGCATTCAGTTGAAATGAAATTTTATGTACACGATAGTTTTGGATGAGAATACGATACTTTAATGATAATGAATAAAAATTAATTACCCCTTTATGTTGTGATTCTGTCCTATGTATATACATATTTATATTAATTGTAACTATTTAATAAAAAGTAGCAAAAATAAAAATTTTCTTTGTTGATCTAAGTAGGAATTCACTTAAGATATTTTTTTATATTACTTTTTTTTTTTCGAAAATTAAACCCCTTTGAGGCAACGTTAAAATTTCGATTTTTTAAAATTATTTTTCTTCTATAAAATCACAATTCCGTAGAACAGGGGTGCCGGACCTTTATAGAACAAGGCACCATTCTTTTCTAAAGAAATGTTTAGAGAAGTATAGACGTTTATAGAAAAATAATTTATTTATAGAAATTGCTAATGTTGCGTTTGATTGTAATATTTCACAGTGAACTTTATTATTTTGATTTAAAATGCAAACCGTATTGATGGGTGACGTGCCCAAAATGATATGCCCCGTGCCATCAATGGCACGCGCGTCATTGGTTCGCCATCCCTGCTATAGAGCATCTCTTCTGCATAGGTAGATTCCGATAAATAATAATTTTTTTCTTCATACAACTGTGATGTACCCCAGTGAATAGTAATGCATTCAACTTAAAGATTCCAGCTTAGTAGGACGTTTAAGGTATCCGACTACGTTCGGAACCGTGATTTTCAAAAGCGCATAAATGGATAATTTTCATGATATTCAGTGTCACTTAGATTACAATATATGCATAAAATTGTTTTAAGGACATTTTGATAAAAAATTTTTATTTAAATACAATATTTTGGCAAAAAATTAACTTAGAATAATATTTTTTTTTCAAATGTTCTCCTTTTGTGAAAAATGCTTCTATTAGAATAATATTTTGCCTGTATATAGCTCAGACCTCTGTTCAGAGGCTCAAATAGAATTTTTAAAATATATAACTTAGAAGTGGATTTATTCATATTTTACGACAACAGAAGGGAGCAAATTTAAGAAAAAAACGCGAATAATTATTTCAATTGGTGGTAACTCTGAAAATAATGTGAATTTCTCAAAATAAATAGTTCAGACTCTCTGGAGAAGTTTTTACTTGCATATAAGCAAAATATTACTATTTTAGAAGCATTTTTTTTTTATAAAGGAGAACATTTTAAAAAACAGTTATTCTAATTTTTTGCCAAAATATTGTATTTAAATAAATTTTTTTTATCGAAATGTCCTTAAAACAATTTTATGCATGTATTCTAATCTGATTGACACGAAATATTATGAAAATTATCCATTTATGCACTTTTTTAAAATCATAGTTCCGAACATAGTTGGATACATTAACGCCACTAAGAAAAATGCAATTTTTCCCTTAACAAAAAATAGATATATGACCTCCTGTATCCCTCATTAAATTTGGGGGCGAGAAATTTCCGAAACACAGCAACTGTAGTTGTTTGTTTGAAAACATTCAATTAATCTGTAACCATTAATTCGAATTTTTTTAGTTAATGCCAAACTTTTTGAAGTTGGGCGTGGGCTGTTGGCGATAGATCTCACATTTTTGAACCACAATCAATGGGTTGAATTATGTGACGTCATAGACCAGGTGTGTCCAACCCCAATAACCTTGCGGGCCACTTCAAAAAATATAATAATTTAAAAATACGCACATAAAAATATGTACTTTATATCTGATTTGAAAACAAAAAAACATTTATTGAAGTGAAAATTTAAAACAGAATGAATTATTATTATTGTTTTCATTATTTTTCATGTATACAGACATAGATGATATAATAATACAACGATCAAATAATGTTTAAAATATTACAGTTGCCACTTTCTTGACAATTACGGTGTTCCTATTGAATTGATCTTTCCTTACTCATTGATGAAATTTGATAGTGCTGCCATTCGCAAACGATTAAGTATACATTGTCCTTTATCTTTACTATTCTGAATATTTTTTTAAAATTTAAAAAACATCTCTGACTGCCTCTTGCTTTTTGGGCACTCCAAACAGAAAAGGAGGAGAAACGAAAGTCACACACACAGAGAATCATGTGCCATCCATAGTAAAGGGTATGCATAGTGCAATTCACAAAATTTATTAAAAAAGTAATTTACTATAGTAAAATCAAATGTAACTGTTTGATAAAATATAAATCTATTTTAATCTAAAGGACATTTCTATTATCAAAAAGGACTTATTTTAAAACAAGAACAGGTAACAGGCAAATACATTGTAGATATATATATATATATATATATATATAAATTTCAAAATGAAAAAAACCTTAAAAATCTGATATTTAAAATTTTTTTTAAAGAGTCGGTGGGCCGCAACTTACGTACTGGTGGGGCCGCATTTGGCCCGCATGCCGCGTTTTGGACACCCCTGTCATAGACGTACGATAATTGTATTCGAGTGTTTCCAGCAAATCA